ATGATTTACTACAGAAACAAAGTTATCTCCTTCTGAGTTAAGAACCTGAGACGTTAAGACAGAAACCTAAAACAAGAAATTCGTAAACTGGTACACACCCCAAAAGCCAAACAGGTTTGCCAGCAAAGCTTGACCTTCGTGCACTCTCCCCACTTCCGGCTGCCCCACCTACCCTCCTAATACTGGAACCCCGCCTCACTTGCGAGGTCCCGCCCCCTGCACCTGATCCTGATTTTCATTGGCGAATCTGGATACTATACACACTCGACACGCGCACGTTTGGCCACAGCGTCTTCACGCAAGCGCAGCAGCGCTGTTAGGCTACTGAGTGCTGAGGGAGGAGGGCAGAGGTCAGGCCGAATCTTCCTCCGTAATAAGAAACAACGTGTCCAGCTGTCCTGGCTCTGTGGGTCCGATCGGATCGGGCCTGGGCGCTGGAGCTGCGGTGGCTTCCGCCGCAGCGGGTGCGATGGAGGCCGTGCCGAAGCCCAGCATTCAGGCCGGGGGAGGCCGAGACAGCCGACGGTGCTAGTAGATGAGGCGGCGGTGGCGGCAGCCCTGGCTCTCCATGAGCAAGCGGCGGCGGCGACGGGTGCGGCGGCACCGGCGGTTTTCGGTCCCCGAGGAGGTACGAGGAGTCGGCTTCCTGGTGGACGGAGACTGGCCGGTGTGGGAACGCCTTCTGCGGACGGCCCTCCCCCGATTCCTTATTTGCCCGCAGACACAGGAGTTCGGTGGGCACTGCCCGAGCCTGGCAGTGCCACCGGCTCCTCTTTCAGGGACCCGCCCGCCTTGCGGAACCGGTCCTCTGTGCCAGGCCTTACAGGGTTCAGCGGGCTAGGGACTGGCAGCTGGGTGGGCGTGGCCGGACCCCGGAGGATGTTGCTGCAGCGCGACCCCCGCGGCTCTGCCCAGAAGCTCAGCGCTAGCTGCTAGTGGGTGCGCGTGGCTATTTTTTGGAAGAATATTTCCGGGCGCTGATTAGAAAGGGAACTCTTTCCTTAACCTTTACAGAGTCAATCATTCAATGCCTAGGGCAAGTTGTCTAGTGTCACAGCCAGTGTAGAAAGCCAGAGAAAGAGTCGAGGGATTGCCAGGTTTATTCAAAATGAAGGGCCTGTTGAAGCAGGTAAATATTCTCAGCCAACAAACACCTCTTCCTGGGCTTTCAGTGCAGTGCTTAACGAAACAGCCTTCTGAGGGTGTGGTGAAAACTTAAGACTTTTAAGTAAAGCTGTTTGCAGCCATTTCTCCGTCTTACTTATCCTTTTTGTTGTAAATTACTCTGGGACAGATCACCATGTTAATGCTGAAACTAGATTGTGTCTTCTAGTTTTTTCCAATCCCAACTATCCCCTTTTTTCCCCCAGAAAAAGACCAAAAAATTAGTTTCATATTTTCTGTGTATGTGTACCATTGCAGTTTAATTCCCTGAGAGCATAAGTATTGCTTTACTGAACTGTACTTTTCATTTGGTCATGTCTAAAAGATAATTTGAAGAGAAATACTACTGAGGTTTAGGCTTTCTTTCCAGTGCAATACTTAGGAATCTGAACTCAGGCTCTTAATCTTACAAACATGCTAGAAAGACCTTTAAAATTCAACAGAAATAAACACACCATAAAGAAGGTTATTTTCTTACTTGAATGCTGCATGATTTTTTTAAATCTGCTCAGGAAACTGGTCCTATTGAGAAGAAATTGAATTTGTGTTTTCCTAGACTCCAGATTTGCCACACCCTCTTAATCGTAAATGATTGGTTGACTAGAGCCAACATGTAAGCATGCTATATATAAACATCTACACTTCAGAGTCCACAGTATCTTGCTTCAAGCCTAACACTTGGTGGGTGGGTGGGGGGGGGGGTGGGTATGTTTAATATATTACAAAACTGAATTTTTAGTCTAGTGTTGCCAAATCATTTTTTAATTATGTATCACACAAATGATTGAAAACACAGATCTGCATTATTATTGAGTGTTGGGTTCATGTGCTTGGGAGGATGTGGTTTATGAAAAGATGGCCAAAATAAGACATTGACCGTAGTCACATGCTTCCTCAGATGCTGTCCTTTTTCATAAAAATACATATTCCCATAAAAGGAACATTGGAAAACATGTTATTTTTAGTTTAGACATTTGTCCAAAGTAAAGCAATTTTTTTTAATACAATTTCAATAGGATCTCATTCCTCTCATTTTTTTTTTTAGATTTTGTTTTATATAACATACATAGGACACAACTGTGTTTATTAAAACCCTGTCAAGCCTCAAATGCTTAGCCTTCTCAAGGTGAGGGTAAAGGTAAGTGTTTGCTATTCTAGAGAGTAAGGTTACTTCAGCTGATAACCAAAGTATACATAGGGGGTAATAGGAATATTTATCCAGTTCTGAATCAGATCTTCTCGTCATGGTCTCTATATTTAGAACTATAAGATATCAGCACAGTTCTAAATTAAAAGTACAAATCCTAAAGTAGATAGAAATGATTTTTGTATTAGTTACATTGCTATTCAGTTAACTTTTCAGTTACTTCCCATGTGTCATCTTTCACAGTTAAATGGTAGAATTAACCTATCACAACAGGATTTTTCTATACCACAAATTAAATATGTAGTGTGATTAATATAAAGACTATCAAATGACCATTATTCTGTACTCCAAGTAAGGATTTTAATATATCGGTTTCTTAAATAGGACCATGCATATTTACAAGAAAATAAGATATATTTTGGGGGGAAGAGGAGGTTTACGTTAGGAGTATACCTAACCAAATTTAATTATATCTTTAAATAATTTTATTTCATTTAGGATTTTTTTATTACATTGATTTTCCTATATCATAGACAAAATCAATAATATAGCTACTATAATGGCCCTTCAAATGGTCATTCTGTATCTCAAAAAAAAATTTTTTTAAAAAGATAGCAGTTTGTGAAATGCTCTGCACCATTCATGTTGCTAAGAAAATGGTACATAGCTTGTGCTGGTTATGTTTGTGTGTCAACTTGGCTGGGCCTGGTTGAGTGGCTGGGTAGCTGCTGGTAGTCGTTCCCCATGATGACACTGGCAGTCAGCTCCATGGTGGGATCTACCACAAGCAGCTGAGTAGCTGCTTTGGGTTATGTAAGAAGCAGCTTTGGGAATGGTCTCTAGCATATGTCACTCTTGAACCCTACATGCAGCCATGTTGTTGTTCAGCAGCCTGCCATGCTCATCTGACCTTGGGACTTAAAATGAACTTGAATTAATGGCCTGACCGTGTGGTTTGGTAACATCAGCACTGTGCCTTTTGACTTGTGAACCTTGGGCTTGTCAGTTTCAGCAACCAGCAGCTGTCTGAGTGAAGAAACACCTCTAGCTCCAGTGGGCCAGGAGCAGGAGGCAGAGCTGGAACCCAAGGCTGAGGGGCTTTCACCCAGCCCCTAGAGCCTGGCACTTTGAACTTGGACTTAAAGCCTCCAAACTGTAACAGAATAAATTCCTGTTCGTTAAGGCCATCCCATTTGTGGTATATTCTTGTCAGAGTGGTACTAGGTAACCAGAATAGAATTTGGTACCAAGAGAGTGGGGTGCTGCTCTGACAGATACCTAAAATGTGGAAACAGGAGTGGAGTGCATCCTTGACCCAAGGCCCTGGCAGAGAGACTCCGGCATACGGCATGAGAGACAGCAGGAGCAGAGCCGAGAGACTGGCATGAGAGACGGCAGGAGCAGAGCCAAGAGAACCAGCATGAGACAGCGACAGCCTTACCAGCCCATGGAGGAGAAATCTTGATGCCTTTGGTTAGGCGGCTTACTGATGGAGTAGGTTACCTTCGGGCATTAAGTGGTAGAAAAGACTGGCACAAAATGGAGTAGCAGGTTGTCCAGCCCATGGAGCAAGAAAGCCAAGTGCTTTTGGGGCAGGGTTTTCCAGCGGAGTAGGTTGCCTTCAGCGTTAATCGGCAGAAGTGGAGACCAAGAAAATAGAAGCAGAGCTGCCTCACCCTGGAAGGGTAGGACTATGACCTTTGGGGGTAGAATGACCACAGCCCCCTAGGTTTCAGAGAGCCAAGCCTTAGTTCTGGAGTGTAGGCTGCTCGTTCATGTGAGCCAGTGGGATGGAGCCATAGCCGCTGCCCAAGAGTGAGGGGGCAGGGCTGCTATGCCCAAGAGGGAGAGGAACGGGTCCTCCAGGCCAAGAGGGTGAGGTCGCCACTTAGAGGAACTAGGGGACTGGAGCCACCCAGTGAGAGAGATCTGTACAGATGCCAAGTTGACAAGAGGTGGAGTTGTGGTGGTTAAACTTGTGTGTCAACTTGGCGGGGCCTGGTTGAATGGCTGGGCAGCTGGTGGTAGTCATTCCCCATGATGATACTGGCAGTCAACTCCATGGTGGGATCTACCACAAGCAGCTGAGTAGCTGCTTTGGGTATGTGATCTGCTTCCCATATATAAGAAATGTCTTTGGGAATGATCTCTAGCATTATGGCACGCTTGGACCCTGCATGTAGCCATGTCATTGTTCAGCAGCCTGCCACACTCTGCTGACCTTGGGACTTACAATGAACTTGAATTCCTGGCCTGACATTTGGTTTGGTAACATCAGGACTGTGCCTTTTGACTTGTCAACCTTGGGCTTATCAGTCTCAGCAGCCAACAGCTGTCTGAGTGAAGAAATGCCTCTAGCTCCAGTGAGCCAGGAGCAGGAGGCAGAGCTAGACCACAGGGTTAAGGGGCTTTTCACCCAGCCCCTGGAGCCTGGCACTTTGAACTTGGACTTAAAGCCTCCAAACTGTAAGAGAATAAACTCCTGTTTGTCAAGGCCATCCCATGAGCGGCACTAGGTAACCAGGACATAGCTTGAATAGCTTTAAATTTTTTTTGTTGCGTTGGGAGAACATTTAACCATATTTAGTTGAAATCTTTACATAGCTTTATTTTCACTTAATATATCTCATATATTTAACATGCAAAGTCACAAGTTTATATGTTGTATTTTATACCTTTAAAATTCAGGATGAAGACACTGTTTGAAGAGATCAAAGCATCAATTAAAAATAACTATAACCAAGATCGCTCATTTTGGAGGCCTGTTCTTCCTTGGGGAGGTGTTTTCACTCTCAAAGCTGGCCGCAAGGCAGTATCCTGTACACCACTCTATGTTGAAATAAGACTGAAAAATACCTGCACCATAGATGGATTCTTGATGTTATTATATGTCATTCTTAATGAAAATGAAAATTTCCCCAGGGAACTCTCTCTTCATTTAGGTAGAGAGTTTATAGACTGTTTTCTTTATTTAATGGACACCTACAGTTTTACAACTGTGAAGCTACTTTGGATTTGGGACAAGATGGAAAAACAGCAGTACAAATCTGAAGTTCATAAAGCTTCACTAGTAATTGATTTGTTTGGGAATGAGCATGATAATTTTACAAGAAATCTTGAAAATCTCATGTCTACCATTCAAGAGAGTTACTGTTCCAACTGGAGATGCCCAACTCGAGTACAGGAAGATCAGCAGCGCATAATTATTATAAAGTAAGTTGCTCATAAAGTCTGTTTTGTCACTTTCAGAAAAAATAAGATTATATACCTTTTTTAATAAACAGTACTTTAAAAAATACACCCACACATGTATGGTTACACTACTTAAAGTGCATAACTTGTATAACTAATTATTCCTTAGCGTAAAGCAATCACATACAGATACAAGATGACAGTAAGTCCCATACAAAAAATGTGAGTCTATTACATCCAAACATCTTAGAATATACTTTGCAAAGCTAACAATTATTTCAGTGGCAAAATAATGGATTATTTAATATAAAAATGTTTTACACTTGTTTTGAATTGTTGTTGTTGTTAGGTGCCATTGAGTTGGCTCTGACTGATAGCAACCCTGTGTACAGCAAAACACTGCCCAGTCACGCACCATCCTCAGTCTTTGCTGTGCTTCAACCCATCATTGCAGCCACTGTGTCAGGATATTTCATTGAGAGTTTTCGCCTGTTTCACTGACCTTTATTTTACCAAGCATAATATCCTTCTCCAGAAACTGGGCTCTTCTGACACCATAGCCAAAGTACATGAGATGAAGTCAGGCCATTCTCACATCTAAGAAGCATTCTAGCTATACTTCTTCCAAGACAGATTTGTTCATTCTCCTGGAAGTCCATGGTATTTTCAGTATTCTTCCCAACACCATAATTCAAATGGATCAATTCTTCTTTGGTCTTCCTTATTCATTATCCAGCTTTTGCATGCGTATGAGGCTATTGAAAATGCCATGGCTTCGGTCAGGTGCACCTTAGTGTTCTAAGTGACATCATTCCTCTTCAATTTCTGTCATAGTAGATTCTGTGATTGTCTGATTCAAAATGGTCAGTACCAGTCCATTTCAGCTCATCTAATGTGTAGGATATCAAGCTTCATGCGTTCTTTTTCATTTTTCACAACTTCTAATTTTCCTAAATTCATACTTCATACATACCATGTTCCAATTATTAATGAATATTTGCAGTTATTTCTTCTCATTTTGAGTCATACCACATCAGCAAATGAAGGTCCAGAAAGCTTAACTCCATCCACATCATTAAAATCGAGTCTACTTTGAGAAGGCAGCTCTTCCCCAGTCATATTTTGAGGGGCTCATCTTCCAGCACTATATTAGACATTGTTTCACTGTTATTCATAAAGCTTTCCAGTAATACATCAGACAGTGTTTCACTGCTATTCATAAGGTTTTCAGTGGCCATTTTTTTCAGAAGTACACCACAACATCCTTCTTCCTAGTTTGTACTTAGTCTAGAAGCTCTACTGAAACTTGTCCACCATGGGTGACCTTGCTGGTATTTGAAATACTGGTGCATAGCTTCAAGCCTTACAGCAACATGCAAACTACCACAGTACAACAAATTGACAGACCAATGGTGGGATATGACTGTGATGGATATTAATTCCTTGTGTTGTCAATTTAGCCTCTTACAGAGCACTTACTATTATTTTGATGTGTTTGACTCTTTGAATTAGGTCTCTTGGCTAGTTCCATAGGAACAAAAATACTGAAATTACTCCTTCATGTCATAGCCAGAGTATAGTTACAGAGAGGAGCCTCAGTGTTGGAATCTAACACTTGGAGAGGATGGTGGTATGATAACCTTTTACAATGACAAGAAAAGGTACAGAAAGCCAGCTGAGTATTTTCACTTTTTAGAAAGAATGCAGACATCCCAGCTGGTAAAGACAGGAAGGGAGACCAAATTGGCAAGCCCAGGTGGAACGCTGGGAAACATTAAAGCCACCAGGAGACATGCGCTTGAAAGGGATAATTGCTAGTGGAAGAAAATGAGACAGAAAAATAGACCCAAACACACTGCTGTCAGAAAGGATATTTAGCCCTACGATTCAAAAGAAAAGCCTCAAAGAAAGTGTGCATTTGGGAATGTAGATCATATAACCTATCTTATTAAATTCACATTTTTTATAGCCTGTTTAGATTAATATTATAACATGCTGCTTATGGGAAGTTTTAAATATTTTATTCATTTTAGATTCTACCAATTCCTCTTTTTTCTGAAATACACTTTCACTGTTTTCTTGTATTATTTTGGCTCTATTCATTTGTCTTAGGTTTCTTTAATTTTTATAGATACCTATCTATCCCTTCAATTTAGTCAGTGTTAAAACCAAAAATCCAAACTTACTGCTGTTGAGTTGGTCCCAACTCATAGCGACCCCTCCTTGGGTTTCTGAGGCAGTATCTCTACAGAACTAGATTGCCCAACCTTCCTTCCAAGGAGTGGCTGGTGAGTTTGAACCACGAGCCTTCTGGTTAGCAGTCAGTGCCTTAGGCACTACGCAACAGCTTTTAAATATTAAACATTTTCCGTGCATTTAGTGAACTTTAAGTTCCATCTGAAGTAAAAACTCTTAAACTTTTTTGTACTAAATAAAATTCATATGTATTCTTAAGTATAAACTCTGTTTCATTCCTTCTGTTAGCAAATGAAAAAAAAGATCATTTATCAGCTTGTCTAATGAATTTTGTCAGAAATTGAACAATTTTAGTCTGCCATTTTATAAATGCTTAGCCAGAATTTTTCATTGAACTCCTGTCCAAATATTTTGCCAATTTTAATATTAAAAATTCCTCAATAGAAGAGGTCAAAACTGGACTTCCGGTAAGATGGAGGAATAGGCAGACAAGCAACATAGTCCCTCTTCAACAAAGAAAAGAAAAACCAATTGACAGAGATACAGAAGATAATCCTGGAGTCCTGAGCTTTGAAAGGAACTATGCAGAAGTGGATTAGGCACCAACTAGTGGAAAAACCTGAATGAAAACAGTGAGTACAGAGATGGTCAAAACTGCGGACTGTCAG